ACACACACACACACACACATATATATATATATATATATATATATATATATATATATTTGTAAAAAAAAATTCATATATAAAATATTTTATTTTATAATATGAATATTTAATTTTATTAAAGTTATTATAATCAAGTTCTTATATAAATGAACAATTTTATTATATATATATATGTATGTATATACACTGAATTTATATAAATCTAATAGATAGGAAGAAAAAAGATAAAAAAAAGATAAAAATAGGATATAAGGTATAAATATAACATAAATAGTAAAAGAAGATAAACACAGAAAAAGATATATAAATATATCAATATATCAAATCATAGAAAATTATTATTTAAACTATAATTATAATGAATTATAATTTTCTAAATATATTCAAATAATAATATATTGAATATTTAATAATATTAAATTACAACTTATAAAGCTTTTTGTAATTTTTAAATAAGTAGTTCACTTGTAGAGATAGCCTAGATGCATCTAGCAACGTCGTTAGAGAAACTGTAACTGATGAAGAGAAAGGAAGAATGAATAAAGAAAAGAAGAGAGTTCGTTGACCGTCAAAGAGAAGTCAGGAGCATGATTGTAACCGTGACTGTGATCGTAATCCTGATCGCATCGTGATCGTAACCATGACCGACTTGCTTTTACAAATCCTTAGAAAATCTTATATGTGTTCGCGAGAATAAGTATAAATATATATATATGAATATTATATAAGTTTATATATTATATACATATAATAATCTTTATACGATTTATACATATAAAATATATTATGTAAATAAATATATAAATACAATATTATAAAATATATAAATATGCAAGAAAAATATATATAAACATATTTACAAGTATTATATATTACAAATACAAAAGAAATCATAATATACAATAAGGTTTATATAGCAAATTTATCATATTTTCATGTATCTTATACGATTATTATAAAAAAAATTTGAATTTAATTAATATCAGTCAAGATACACTTTTTTTATAACTAAATCTAATGTTCTTTTAATTCTAGATAACATAATTTTGATAGTATAAAAATTTGTTGAAATATATTTTTTTTTTATTCACATATTTTATGATGTAAATATAAATATGAAATTATTAAAGCAATAATAGAAAAATAAAAAATTTATGATTAATAAAAAAATTTAATTACAAAACTGTTTAATGATGCTTAATATTTTAAAATAATCTATATATCATATTTATATTTATTATTTTATTTAAATATAAAATTATTTTACTTTTTTATACATAATTTCTATGAAGAAATAATTACTATAAATAAAAACTTATATATTTTAAAAATTAATCATTAATTTTTTATCACAGGAAATTCTTTTTTTATAAAAAATATGACGAAACATTTGTAGCTTAACCTCAAATTTATTTTAGTTTCTATTATGTGATACAAATTATTTATGTCTTATTAAATTTTTAAAATTTTTTTTAAAAAATATTTTAATATTTCAAAAAAGTATTATAATTATAATAAAATTTAAGTAATTATAATATAAAATTTATAAATTAAAAATGATATGTTAAAATATAATATAATTGTATTATCTATATATTTCATAAATTATATATTTTTTAAAAATATAAATGAAAATATAAAGTATATTAAGTATTTCTTCTAGAAATAATATTATTGATAATATCATATTTTAATATAAAGTTTAAATTTTTTTTATCTAAGTTTTAATATTTAAACAAAATATATACATTTCATTAAAATATTTTAAAATAAAATAAAAAATAAATCATTAAGAAAACAGCAATTAAAATAAATATTTTATTAATAATAAAAATAATTAATTATTAATTATAAAATGTATTTTTCACGAAAAATATATTTTATATTTGTAACAATTGTTGCTTTAAGTTCGAGTATAATAATTTATCAGGTATTTATATAATTAACTTTATAATTTCATAATATAATAATGAAATGTTTGTAAAAAATATCAATGATAATAATAAATTAATAATTTATAAATATGTGCTTCTTAAATAATATTTTAATATTAATATTAATAATATTATATAAATTATAGAGATAAGTTATAAAGAAAAATCAATGTTTATTAAAATTAATATTATTAACAGATATATCTAATTCAAATTGACAATAAATTATATTATTCAGGTATATAAAATGTGTCAAGTTTTTAATATTTTTTATATTTATAAATATAAAACATAAATATTTGAATTAATAAAATTTATTTTAATCATATTTTTTAGATATACCTATAATTTTATGGTGGACACCTTTTGGAAATGATGAAAAATTACGCAATTGTGAAAATTATCAATGTTATTTCACAAGTAATCGATCCTTTCAATATCATAACCAAGTAAAGGTAACATACTACATATAAATTTTCATATTTTCATTTTTTAATTATAATTTATATATATAATTCTATATATAATTATAACTTAAATATAAATTTTGAAAAATAAAGATTTAAATAATTTCAATTACTTTTTTAAATTTAAAGTAAAGTTAATATATATTACAAATAAAATATATATTACAAATTGAATAATTATTTTATTTTTTTCATTCATAATCATTGTTAAAATTGTTAAAATTGTTATGAATTATTAAGAATTAAAATAATTATGAATTAATATTAACAATAATATTAATATTATTATTAATATATGAAATTATTAAAGCAATATTAATAATAATAATAATAATAATAATATTAATAAATAAGAAATGATCATTATTATAAGGTTAATTATTAAAAATTTATTAAATTTCATAATATATATAAATGTAAAAATTGCTTGTATTTGTTTTTAAATTAATTGAGATCATTTTTCAAGAAATTATATTATTTTTAATTTTCAGAGTTTCCTGTTTTATGGTAGCAGTTTTCAAATTAATGATTTACCAAAATGGAAATCCAATGAGATTCCATGGGGTTTATTTCATGAAGAATCTCCTAGAAATAATCCAATCTTAGTCCAAGAGGAAACTCTGAATCTTTTTACATATTCCTCAACATTTAGTAGATTTAGTGATATACCTCTTACTCTTGTAGATCTACCTGGAATTACAGAATTATTAAGTCAATATAAAAAATTAAAAATCCTAAAATATAATATATAATGTTATAAAAAATTATGTTTTCATAATAATATAACTTATTGGTTTTATAGGTAAAAAATATTTTGTATCGACTAAACAAAAAACTAAATTAATGTATGAAAAGAATTTAGCACCATTACTTTATATACAATCTAATTGTGATACTTCAAGTAATAGAGATAGTTATGTAGCTGAATTAATGAAGTATATACATATAGATTCATATGGTACATGTTTAAATAATGCTCAATTTAATAAAAGGTAAAATATTATATACATACATCCATGTATGTACACATAGATTTAAATATTTATTTAAATTAATTAATTTTTTTTATTATTTGAAATTAAAATGAATTAATTATAGATTATTATTATTATTATAGATTAAAGGAAAATTACCTTGAAATATTAAATAGAGAGGATTTTCTTTCATTCAATGCCAATTATAAGTTTACAATAGCTTTTGAAAATGCAATCTGTGACGATTATATCACAGAAAAATTATGGAGACCTCTTATTGTTGGATCTATACCTGTATATTATGGATCACCATCATTTAAAGTATTAATTAAAATTTATAATGTAACAATTATTTTATAATAATTTATAATATGATACTTAATATATCACATTGATTGATATTTTTTTATAAAAATTACAAACTTTCTAATATGAGTTTCTTATTAAATACTAAAAAATCAATTGAACATTTTGATTTTATATTTAATTTTATTTAACAAAAAATTAATTATATGGATAAAAAAAATTAATTTTTTCATTAAATATAAAACTTATTTTTAAAAATAAAAATAAAATTGATAAATATAATAATATAATACATATTTCTTTTCTCTTTTTTAGGATTGGCTTCCAAATAATATGTCTGCTATTTCAATACTCGATTTCAAAGATCCAATAAGTTTAGCCAATTTTTTGTATAATCTTTCTAATAATGAAATTGAATATAATAAATATTTGTCGCATAAATTAATTGATAATTATGATATATATAATGAAAGATTAAAAAAAGCATTAAAAAAAAATAAAGAATGGCTATCCAATGAATTTGGAAATTATGTTGAAGAGTTTGAATGTTATGTTTGTAAAAATATACATATAAAAAAAAAACAAAAATTGTTGATAAGAAACATTATAATTGTCCATTGCCAAAAAATCCATTAACAATAAAATTGATTATTCTAATTCATGGACGAGACAATGGATTTTAGAAAAATGTAGTGCAAAAATATTAAATTATTATCTCCAAAATAATCTTACAATTAATATGGAGAATTTTGAAAAAGATAAAATAAAATTATATGATAGAAATGAATGTTAATCTAAAAAATTAAAAATTATTATTTTATATATGCAATAATAAATTATATATTTATATTTTTATAATTATATATTTATAATTATATATTTGTGTTTTTCTATTTTCATTATAACTTATTAATAATACAACAATTCTATATTTTCATAATAAAAATAATATTTATAAAATTAATAAAAATTTTTAAAATCTTTTTTTTATTTTATTCTTTTATTTCCTAACTTCATTTAAAAAAGAAGGTAATAAAAAAGAAAAAAGCATAATAAAATTATTTTTTAAATAAAATTCTTTATATTAAATATATATATTTCATATTTCTGTTACATATATATACAAAATTATTTTTTATACTTTATAATAAAAAATTTATCTCTATCAATTCATAATAAAAAAAATTCATAAAATAATTTTTATATTTTGCAAAATATAAATGTTTCATATTATAATCATCACTCATACTTAACACTTCAACATAAAACAAAACAAATAACATAGCTAATTAATATAGTTATTGTAAATTCAAAAATATAAAACAAAATATAAAATGTATGAAACCAAGTAAGAGAAATTAATAGATCAGACATCACTAGCCATAAAAATAGAAAGAATATGAAATCAAAAGATAATATACATTATATTATTCATAATGTTAGTCATAAATAATCTTATATAGTTTTTGTTTTCATTTCTAATCCAACTTAATTCAAATTTTACTTAATACAAGTATGCAGTACAGAAAAAATAATTAAAAATATTCTAAATAATTAGAAAAATATATAATTCTGATTATATCTTAGTTCTTACCAAAGTAAGAAATCAACAGAGGCATTTTGAAAAAATAATAATAATACTGTTTATAATTCTTGTTTATCATTTTAGAAGATATAAATTGAATAAATAATTGAAATTATATTGATATTAAAAAAATAATCATTTCTTGTTTCTATTAACAAGATAGATAATATACTGATATTAATATATATTAATTTAAACAATATTTTTCTAATACAGTTTTATACAAGATCATAAATCAGAATATATAATAAATACAATATATAATGAAATATATATTGTAAAATGCAATATAAAAAAAAATATTTTTAACGATTTTGAATAATATTTTTTTATAATTTTTATTCTTTTCTTGAAAAAATTGAAGTTATATTTTAAATATTATTTTAAATCATTAGAAATAAGAAAAATTCTAATTTTATATATCTATTTTTATAATAATTCTAATTATTATTTAATTATTATTAAATTAATTTGTATTTTAATTCTGATAATAATTAAATTCTAAAATATTCTATGTAAAACATTAATATCAAGAAAATAAGTATTTTATTTTTTAAATTCTACTTACCAATTTAATTAAAATAAGGCAAAATTTGAAAGAAAAATTAATTTTTAAGCTTATTCTGTAAAATAGGAGCAGGTACTTTCATTAAATCACAAAGATGATTTCTTATGGGTCGCAGTTCAGATATTGATTGTTCCCAATCAGTAATATTTAATTCAGTTAAAATTTGAATCAAATCCTCTTCTGGAAGATCCATTTCTTCCCCATAAAGAGTTAAAGCTTCATATGTTCTTGTTGCAGCTACTTTTCGTATACATTTATATTTATGACAAAGAAAAATACTTAACTGACAAAATGCTCTTTTTGCAACTGGTCCATGTAACTGTAAATATTATTATTATTATTTTGAAATTATCTTATTATTTTTTAATAAAATATTATAATATATAATATAATGAATATATATAATAATATGGAATATAATAAATATACCTGCAAGAGCTGACAAAAAACATTTATACTGCTAATTAATAACTTAGTATTATTTGTAGTTTTTATTTCTTGTTTAAGTAATATTAAAATTCGTTCTGCAATTCCATTTTCAGAATCATCAAGAACAACTTGAATACAACCAGAACTAAGTAAACGATCCAAAAAAGCTAACATTGATGTGATCATTCGTTCGTTTTTATGACTTTCTTCAAAAATATCTAAAATTTTATAACACAAACTTCGAAGACCCAATTCATCTATTTCTTGTAAATAAGAAAATAATGAAACACTAGAATATTTAACCTGAAACAAAAAATTAAATATTACAAAATATTAGAAAGATATATTTAAAAATATGAAATATATGAAAGATATATTAAAAAAATTTAATAATATATATATATATATATATATCCATACCAAAGATTCACTCAAACCACCAACACTAAATATAATTCCTCGTAAAAGACTCATTGTATAAGGAGGATAAGATAACATTTTAATAAATCTTGGAAAAGTAGCTGACTCCATTCGCCATTCTATATTTTCTTTACATTCATCATAAGGAAAAATAGTTTTTAATTCCGCATGATATGGAATGTTTGGTAAGGAAGGATCATTATGAATAAGAGCACTGAAAACAACTCCTGCTTGTGCTCGAATTCCATCAATTCTTTCAACAGCTTGTTGTGCAATTCCTCCAATTATATTTGCCATTAAATTTTCATTTAACACAGAAAATAATTTTGCTTGTGATATTAAATTTGTTAATATCTGAAATTATTACATCTTAATATAAATAATTTATTAAGCATTATCATTAAATATAAATATAAAACAACGAATATTTTTACATGTAAACCAGTCATTGCTGCTTCTCGTACCCAAGCTCCTATATCTCCACGACTATCTATAGTATATTCTTTCAATGCCAATAAATAACAATCATATAAATCATGAATATATATGCGCCACTTATCTATTATAAAAAATATGAAAATATTATTTAAATAATATATAAAGAACTAAATAATTATTTATTTTATTTTAAAATATTTAAAAATAGTAATTTATATAATATTAATTTAAATTTTTGTTCTTTACTATGTAACATTTTTAATAAAATTATTAAATTAAAAACTTAAAGTATTTTTAAACGTTGAAATTAATTTTAAACATTTAAGAAATAAAAAACAAACCTGCTTCTTTTATTCCTAAAGTTTGACAAATCATTATTAATGCATGAATAGCTTCTTTTCTACTTTCTGCCCATTTTAAAGTACTTTCTGATATTTTTGTACATTTAATAAGAGCTTCTATTATATCTTTTACTCTTTCACAAATTATAAATAAAGGAAAATAACCTATAAAAGAATAGTTATCAATTAATAAATAATCACAATAATCATTAAAATTGGTTAATTATTTAAATTGTTGTAATAAAAATTTTTAACAACCTATTGCTTGTGCAAAACCTATTCGTACAAGCTGATTATTTGATTGTAAATTATCAAGATAACAGTTAATAACAATATTACGATCTTGAGTGCTTATATTTGTATAGTATTTTCGAAAAAATTCTGTATGTGCTTCTGCAGCTTTTATTTTTACTATAGATACTTCATGACCCAAACATTCTTCTAAAAGATTTTGCCAATCACCTGTAAAAATTTTATTTATTTATTTATTTAATTTGTAATAATATAAATATACATATACGTATATATATTATCATTAATATCATATTATTCATATAACTACAACTAATTTTTACATATGAATCTTTATAATTATATTTATCATAAATATTAACTTACAAATAGTTTCAATAGAAATAGGAAAATTAACAATTGAGCACTTTTTTATAAGCACAGCACATGCTTGTTTCATTAATTCTCCTCCTAGACCTTTGAATTGTCCTCTTTTTCTAAAAGTGCTAATTATATTTTTGACATTTTCTATAGCCAAAGGTCCAATTATATTTTCAATTTTTTCATTACAACTATTGAACAATGCTTCTAAAATTTCTGCAATAGCTAATACTGCACCATGCCTAATATTTAAATCAATAGAATTTAGCATATCTAATAAATTTGGTAAAACTGTATCCCTAATATAATTAGAATCAATAGGAGTTAAATTAAAAAGCGTTTTAGCTGAAAGTTCTCTAATTGCTGTATCCCAATGTGTAATTTTTCTTGTAATTAGATGATCAATCAAAGATTTTGTATATTCTTCATATTGTGCAATTTGTGTACTAATCTTTAAATATGCATGATTTCTAACACCAACTTCAAAATAATCAGCAATTGTAAGTATTTCTATTCCATGTGGAAAGTTTCCTTGTCTTCCTACATTTTCTTGAAATGCAGCAGAAGCAGCTCTTCTACAATTAATTTCTCGATCAAAACAAGTAACAACCAATAACATAGCTGCAATTTCTTTTACATAAGGTTGAATTATATCAGGATCATATGCTCTGGGAAATGACCAACAAATATAACATGCAGCATCTCTGATTAAATATCCAATTGAACCATAAGCTCTGGGTTCATCAAATACTAAGGCTTGAAGAACAACTGGTATTACATCATTTAAACGATGAGGAAGAAGAAGGCCGCGTCTTCCTAATTCTGCTAATGCCAAACAACCTCCATGCCAAGCAAAATCTGATTCTCTACCACAAAAAAGATTTAACACAAATCCAACAACATCATCTGCTAAATCCATTGGTAATCTTGCTGTTATTCTACCAATTCCTTTTGCAGCAGACCATCGTATTGTAATTGCTTTATCTCTAAGACCTTGTATAAGTTGTTCAATTATATCTTCTATTGTTGATGGAATATCCTGGTCATCATGATTCAATGGAATATTTTTAGTATCTTCCACACTTTCTATGGTGTTATAGTTAATATTAGAATTAGGTACTAAAGATATAGGTCTACTAGTTCTTTGATATCTCCATGAAGCCAATTTTGTTCCTAATAATACCAATCCAATTCTTTGTACAACTTTCATTCCAAACTTACGAATAAGATCTGCAGGATTCTCATTCAAATGAAGTTGTAAAATTTTATCTAAAATTATTTGAATATATGGTTTAACATCTTCTCTTGCACTATGTTTCAATATTGCTGCTATAACTGCTAATGGACCGTGTCTTAAAGGATCATTTTCTGCACATTGTAAACTCCACATTATCATTTCCTTTAAATATAATTTTTTAGCATCTGATCTTGTTAAAAAATTAGCAATTAAAAAAACTGCAGCTGCAGCACAAGCATCCTTTGATAAGCAAAATAATTTGCATATTTTTAAAATTCTAATTGTTATTGATTGTTCAAAATTAACATCAGAAACTTCTAAGCGTGAAAGTGGAAATGGTATTTT